GCAGTACTGAATGTACACAATTCTCTGCTTCATTTCACCAAAGGAACTATGAAAATTTTAATGATGCAGCAAATACAGAAAAATAATTATTGTCACCTGTATCTCTTCAATAGTTAGCTCTCTTGTAAGCAATATTCTTTCTACATGCCTGTATATCATTCTGGGGTGTCTGTCGCTATTGCAGGTATTGTACGTGCACTCTCTTTGTTCTGCTGTGTGAGCTCTCCTCATGTGCTCACCACCTCCATCTTTATTTTCTTCCTGGAGTGAAAAACAAAAGACAAGGAACAGCTAAGGTCTTTTAGCTTCACTCTGTACTCTGCTGAATACCATTCCAATGCTTCATCCATTATCAAATTTTTCCTCTCTTTTTTTCTCTGTTCCTTCACTGATGGGACTTAGGACTTGAAAGTTTTTTTAAATCCAAACCAGTACCACCAAGAAGTTATATCTATTCTGATTTACTTGTTATCCTGTAGTTCGATGTTACTTTTACTACAGTGTGGCAGACAACGTCTTGATTTTTTCATTTGCATCCAGATGAAAAATAAATAGGTTTGCATTTGTCAAACTGCATGCTCATTAATTTTATTCTGTAGCACTGCCCATTGGTCTTATGAATAATGCCCGTGTAGCAGCAGCACTGTGATTATCATCTTTGTCTGGTCTCTGCACTATGCCTTTCTTTGCAAATTTCTTGCAAGATTGCAAATCCACTGCAATTCTCTTATTGTTCTTCAAGTACACATTGTTTCTTTTCGTAGCTGTATTTGTCACATTACAGGAAGTTCTGTGTATTGCATTGATGAAATTTATCTCTGAGATCTACACAATTCCTGTTGCAAGTTTCTTGTTTATTATTCTTTGATATCTTGTTATTTTATTGTTATTTTATTCATCAATCTGGACTGTGTAACTTTGTTTGCCATGCAAACTCCATTTCTTTTTTCAACTTTATTCCAGTATTTTTATTCAAGCATTTTGGCCAGGATTCCAGACAGAAAGTAGTTCTCTGTCAACATACTTTTTTTTTTTAAATGGTAATTTTTTTTAATGCTTTCACATCCAGACATAATTCATCATTTTTCTTGGCCTTTATGTTGTTATCAGTTACATGCTTCACTTTTGCAGACGTTGGTACTCCTGATATTTCTGCTTTAGAGTTTTATAATTCATTTTCCTTGCTTTGGGCAACTGAAAAGTATAAAACACAACAGGTATTTCAAAATGCCTGTTACCTTTTACGAGGGAGTGGGTTGTGGAGCCATGCATCAGGTGGAAGGTGGATGGACTTGCACACCATGTGACAGACATGCTGTAAGGCAGCAAGTAAGGTGAAGGAAGCCTGAAGCAAATGGTGTGGGTAGAGCTGGGTTCTTTCAGTCTTGAGAAATGAAGCGAATTGGCATGCAGAAGGAAGCAGAAGAGGATCAGGACGAAGGGGCAGTTGTCTCTGGAGGGTGATGTGCTCAACCTATGGTGAAGTTAAACTTCATCACCATGAACTAAATAAGAACCATACTGTTAACCTGAGAGTGAGTACTAAGAGCAATTGTCATCACTGAGAGAGAATCCCAGGAAATTTATTCCATTCATTTTATAAATCAGAACTGATTAGGTCCCAGGTTTGTTTTTTTCTACCTTAAGATCCAGTGCCTAAGACTTAACTGCGTTTTCATTGTTTTCAGGGTTGTTCTCTACAGTGAATCCATCAGTCTTTCAATACAAGTCACTCTTCACTGTGCTTTGGTTCATGTCTACATGAGTAGGCTTAAGCAGTTATAATATCTGTACTTGGGCTGTGGGCAAACTACTTGGCTGCTGGGTAGACCCTGGCCAAGGCTGTGCAAGCTGAATAGAGTCTAGAAAACTACTGAGGAATCATGGAACATAAAAAGCTATGAGAATCTGACAATACTTACAGAGAGCACCACAGAGAATACCTGGACCTCACAGGTGGTTAAGGCGAAATTATACGAGAAACATCTAAAGTCCTCAGGTAATTGCACTGGTGCATTAGAGACTGTCAGGGCCTTGCAAGGCCATCAACATTCAGATAGCCTTGTAAAGAACACATATAAAATAGACTTATGATGTTCTCACCTATTCTGCCTTAATGTACCATGTGCTAGAAAGTCTCATAACCCATCTCAGTCCTTACCAGTGCTACATGGGGTGTTTATTCATTAGTGTTTTAGTTTAACTCAGAAGCACAGTTTAGAGGAGAGTCTCCTGATCGTTCCCAATTCCCATTACTTATAGTGAGCAGAGCTTATAGGACTCCTCTCCTAGGAAACTAAGCCAAAGCTGAGCTCCAGGAAGGCTCTGTGGCTTTTAATGCGAACTTAGTTTGTGCAACAAGGCTACAGCTAGCAGGAAGCAAAACCAACTGCAATGCTAGAGAAGGGGCAGTACTTTCATCCTAAATAGAAGCAGTCGTTTCCTACAGAAATGACTGCCAAATAGTGACGGAAAGCGTGTGCTGATCCAAGGAGGCAGGTTATAAAATGATGTATTTTAAGAATTCCTGGGGTTTTTTGAGGAAATAAAAGAGAAACATAATACTTATTGTTACCACTGTAGAAGCACATACCTAACTTTCTGTGAGAACAGGTCTTTGTTATCAAATCGTGTTACTGATGTCTTAGCTGTGCAAAATCCTAATCAAAATAATGAGCCAAACATTATTTTTTATTTTTTCTGCATTTGAAAAAAGTTCCAATATATAGTTTTGACAAAGTTTATTGGCAGTCTTCTCCTGAAAGACAGCTTTTGGGGCTTGCTGGTGTTTTGGTTTTTTTCCAGAATTTTAAAAAAACAATGAAAGAAAATTCCAGAAATTTCTAGGATGTTGCTTTATAACTAGTAAAACTTAATTCTTTTGAAATACTTTATGTCATATTATTCGGAAAGCAGCAATCAAATGTGTGGGGATTTTTTCCCAGGAAACTGAAAAGTATTGTAACATATCATGATGGACTCTTATATTATGCTATGGTTCTTATGGACATTTCAATAATAAGCTAAAATGCCAAAGATACTTTAACTATAAAAATAAAAATACTCTGCCATCTGTGCTGCTTATCTTAATTTTTAAGTTTCAGTTGAAAAAAATTATGTCCATATTCAACTTTTAAAAATAAAATCATAGATCACATTTATTGAGTTATGATTTTATCATCGTCTGCAAAATGTTGACTTAGCCTGGAGTCAGGTCTAGGACTCTGGAGCTAAAACGTAGAGGCTGCGGAAATTCATTAAAGGAGTTTTACCCTTGTGTATTCTGTGAAAAATCAAAAAATCATTGGTGCTGGATCTTCTACTGCGGATAAAAAGAACTATATGCCTATTGTTAGAAGCATAGCATCATGCAAATATTTTTGGTGTCAAGAACTGGTGTAAAGTAGTCCAGGCTAAACTAAGTGAAGTTAATGGAGAATTAAATAGACTTAAGTCAGTAAGAATTGTCATCTGTGGTTGCAATTTTTATATTTTAGCTAAGTGTTCATAAACTATTATTTTAGTATGTACTAAAAAGCTGTAACTTCACCAATTTCAAGTAAATTAGTTTACTTCTTTTTCTGTGGTTATGTTTTCTATAGATCCATATTTTCTTCTAAATTACATTTCTCAAAATATTTTTGAAGATTGAGATTTCAACTCATCATATCTTTAGCATTACTTATGGCTCTCTTGTGTAGTAATGGCATAAATGTTTCATTATGGTGTCATAACCAGTGCCATGAACTTGATCACTATTTTATATCTTTGCTTTTTATGAAGTGGGTACTACCATGCATGTGTATTGCAATTTGCATTTACTATCTCAAAGGTTTGTGTAAGAAAGTGGATTGATGTTTCAGAACATTACTCTAACATGAAGTAAGATTTTTAGGCTTGTTTTATATCTGGAAAACTGGGACCCTGGGACCCAAAGATGGTTGAGATAAATCTAGGTGAAGTGATTCACCATCTTAACTGATGCACACTGGGTTGCATAGCTACTCTGTATCAGAACTGGGACTGAAACTCAGACATCATTGAGTACTGAGTGCACCTCTGGGGACACCAATATAAGAAGCACATGGACTTGTTGGAGCAAGTCCAAAGGAGGACCTCAAAGATGATCAGTACTGGAGGCCTCTGCTATGAAGAGAATTTGGGTTGTTCAGCCTGGAGAAGAGAAGGCTCAGGATAAACTTAGGTCAGCATTCCGCTACCTGAAGGAGGCTACAAGAAAGCTGGGGAGAGACTTTTTACAAGGGCATATATGAAGGGACAAGGAATAGTGGCTTTAAACTGAGCGTAGGTTTAGATTAGATATTAGGAAAAGGTTCTTCACTATCAGGATGGTGAGACACTGGCACAGGTTGCTCAGAGAAATTAGCGATGCCCCATCCCTGGAAGTATTCAAGGTTGGATGGGGCCCTGAGCAGCCTGGTCTAGTGGAAAGTGTCGGTGTCTGTGACAGGGAGGCTGGAATCAGCTAGTCTTTAAGGTCCCTTCACACCCAAACCATCCTGTGATTCTGTGTCTCAAATAGAAGTACTAGGGAATATTTTCCTTTAGCAATACTGAAATGTACAGGCTGCAGAAATGCATTAAAGAACCTAAAGACATTACTAAACCAGAGCATTTGTTAAAGTGTTCCAAAATGGTTAAATGGATTTTTATTTTTTATTTTTTTGTTAAGAGCTGAGATTCAGATAGATGAATGCAGCTTTTCAATTATGGATTTAATATGTCACTACTTGCTTTTGGAGTATTTAGCATTTTTTTACTGTGATGATTAAAATCTGTTGTAGATGATAATTATGCTGGTTTTATCATTCAAATGCTCAAAATTGATTTTTAAATCTTTAAGTGGCTTTTACTAGACTTTTATTTCTTGAAAAGACAGCTTATATTATGTCCTTCTGTCATATTCTCTGTAAATTCTAAATCACTGCAAAATTAGTACATTTTCGGTTCTAAAAACCAAACCTACCCTTTTTTTGTAGGAGGAAGAACTAAGGAAAAGTGGAGAAGCCAAATACGCGCACTTGAGTGATGAGCTCCATGTATTAATTGAAGTTTTTGCTCCACCTGGGGAGGCGTATTCTCGTATGAGTCATGCCTTGGAAGAAATAAAAAAATTCCTGGTTCCTGTAAGTGACTTGCAACACTTTTCTGTGATTGGTTATGGTTTTGTTGCATTGAATTTGTACCTTCTTTAAGCACCTTTAGATCAAGAAAAAGAAAAGTTCGTCCTTTATTCTCTCTCATTTCTCAAGGAGTTGCCAAACAGGCCATTAACTGTCACAACTGATGCCCTAACATATTTTTAGATGTTTTATTTTTTCCATTTGTCAATGTTTTTTGTTTTCCTTATTTGATTTCTGGAGGGAATAGTAGATTACTTTTTTTTTTCTGATGGCAGACAGTAGTCATTAATATGAGAGTACACTTTCAAGATTTTTGAGTATTTAAGTCTGTAAAAACATTTTAATACATGCCAATTTATCTAAATATCTTGCTAATGAAGTCAATGAATGTCTTGTGGAGCAAACAGTATGAGCAAAACGTTCCTAAGACATTTCTGTTCAGACAGCTTATGACTCAGACCACAGTTTAGAATCTCCTCCATCAACCAGGAGAGTACAGAAACATACTCTAAAGCTGGGAACCTTTTCAATTTGATTTATGTTAAGTATATAACTTTCTGAAATATTTATCTTCCTGTCTATTGATTTTCCTCAAATTCTCTGAAATATATTTTCCACATTTATACAGTTACTCCATGATATTTTCATACTTAAATTTGTCCTAGAATTGAAGCATATGTATACTAGATGTTAAATAAAGTACTACTAGAGTTACATGAGTTGTCATCTGAGGTCTTAGCATCACCTGAGAGTTCTTAGTGTTCTAAAAATGTCCAGAACTTATATTCCCTAAAAAGAATATGATGACAGCTTGTTTCTATTTGTGATTAAAAATGAAAGGCAGTAACTGTTCGTGTCTCTTGATAATAACGGAAGGATTTGATTAGTGCCTTTTTGTTATGAGTAATATGAAACCAAGGTAAGAGATGTTCATGTGAGGCATATACATATTTACCTGGAAGAATTTTAACACTTTATTTGGTGTGGGCTTTGTGTTGGAGGAAAAGGAGAATACATTATGAGTGAAATATTGAAGTAGAGTATATAAAATATTCGAATTTTTTTGAAGCAAATAAGTTTTTTAAGAATACAAACTAAGTAACTTAAGATTGTTAAAAATAAACACCTGGATATTTGTTTTAAATAAGAACATTTATTGGCACTGAGTGCCCAGAAATGAGCTACAAGTTTTAAACAAGTTAAATCTGTCTTTCTGATTCTCCTTTTTCATCCCCTTAATATGCTTCTAGTTTGGGAACACTGGTAATAAAATACTATTTAAAATTCTTTGAAATACCTGTGAGACAAGAAAGTACCTTTTTTTCATGATTTCTGATTTTATGTTGAACATACAATATGGGGGACAAATTAGGTCAATGTTGTAACGTGGCAGCATACTGTTGAGTGACATTTTGGCTGCACGTTAATGGTGAAGATCTTCCAAGCCATTACACTGACAGAAAATTTATCATTAAGTAATATGTTCCTGAAAATTCTGAAGTGTATTAGCTAAAAATGGTAACAGGGCCAATTATAAAATTTGCCAGTCTTTGTCCTTTAGATAACTCTATTTCCAGTTGTTTGTGATTTTGTCAAACTGCAACAGGGTTCTTGTTTAAAGTTATCTTTTTATGTCCTTTTCATTCTGGAAGAGAGTATTCTAGCCTGACACAATGATGATGGCACCCTTTACTTGTGCCACCTGGATTTTTAACATCCGTTATATATTCTGTCCAACCTGAGAAATTCTGTTCTGGCTGAATAAGCGAGAGAGACCAGTGGGTGTTGAGAGTAATATTGAAATTTGTTGTAAATATTCAGCATATATTTTGTGTGACACATTATTTATTCATAAGGATTATAGGTATTTTCCAGCACAAGTATAAGAGCTACACTGGAGGAAATATAAAAACTAGTTCTTTATTACGCAATTTTGAACATGGTTGACAATAGCAATAATAGACCCTGTCTTAGAAGACCACCAGATTTGTCAGACATGATTTGCCCTTAGTGAAGCTGTCACCATTCACCTCCCTATTTTCCATGTGTCCTAGCAAAGTTTCCAAGATTATCTTCTCCATGGTCTTACCAGGACCTGAGGTGAGAGTAAGAGAGCTGTAGTTCCCTGTGTCTTCCTTATTTCTCTTTTTAAAAGTGAGGGTTATGTTCCCCTTTTTCTGGTCAGTGGGAACTTCAATGGACTGCCATGACTTCTCAGATACGATGATGGATAGTGGCTTAGCCACTTCCTCAGCCAGTTCCCTCAGAATGAGCAGATGCATCTCATCAGGTCCCATGGACTTGCACACCTTCAGGTTTCTTAGATGTTCTCAAACCTGATCTTCTCCTACAGTCGGTGGTTCTTCATTTTCCCAGTCCCCGCCTTTGCCTTGTGCAACCTGGGCTGTGTGGCTGGAACACTTGACAAAGAAGTCATTAATCACCTCAACCTTCTTCATTTCTGGTGTAACCAGGTCTCCTGTTTCTTTCCAGAGAGGGCCCACATTTTCCCTAGTCTTTCATTTATCACTGATGTACTTTTCCTGTTGCTCTTGACATCCCTGTCCAGTTTTAATTCTGTCAAGGCTTTAGGTTTCCTAACCTGGTCCCTGGCTGCTTGGACAATCTCTCTGTATTCCTCCCAGGCTGCCTGTTCTTGCATTCACCCTCTGTTGGCTTCCTTTTTGTGTTTGAGTTTATCCAGGAACATCTTGTTCATTTGTGTGAGCCTCCTGTCATCTTTGCCTGACTTCCTCTTCATTATGATGCATCACTCCTGAGCTTGGAGACAAGGATCCTTGAACATTAACCAGCTTTCTTGTGCCCCTCTTCCCTCCAGGGAGTCATAATCATTCCAAACAAGTAATAATTGTACTTTATGACTTGTTTGTTAGTTTTATCCCCTCTGCTTCATTTCAAATTTACAAAGCAATTATTAACTGGCTGGTTGCAACATGTTACAACGGGTTTGCACTCAAAAAGATTGCACTAGATAATTTCCTTTTTGTTCCCTATTTACAGCATCTCTTGAATTTGTTTTATGATGTTTCATTGTTTATAAGACCTAATTTATTGCAGCAATGAATATTGGAATTGCATGACAGGGATGAAAACAGTAGAATGTATCAGTTTTATTTATACCAAATCAAGGATGTAATAAACTATTCAAATGAGTTCTCATACTGCTTATGAATTTTGTGACGTTTATGTGAAATATTGCCCTCAGAAATAATGTTGTGTCAGTAAAATGGAATAACATTTTTATACCTTATCCATAAGTTTTCATGAGACTGAATTTTAAAATAAAAGCCTAGAAAACACAGTAAGAGAAAAAAGAGAAAAATGTAGAATAGGGCTAAGGAAAAAAAATAGTTGAACATTTATTAACTGAAGTGAAGTCTTAATGAACAACAGCTTTTGATTTAAATGTGATTATTTAATTTTCACCTTTGACCTTACCAAAGAATAGGTTACAAAATTTTTACTAGTGAAGATTTTCCCTCCAAGTCAGAGGTAGAAGCTAAGTACTGCTTACTCTGGCTGTTCCACAAGTTAACACATTCCAAAGCTGCAGGCAGCTTGGTCTGAGGTGGCTCATTGGGATCCCTCCAACAGGCATTTCAGCGCATCACTGAACTCCCAGGGTCTGCAGCGCTCAGTACTTTGCCAGCTGAGGCTCTTTCAAAGCCAAGCTGCTTCATTTACTTTCTGCTACTTCCATCTTGCAAGTGACTTGAGGTCTGAGTGGTAGCTGCCATTTGGGCCTTGCTAACTAGTTGATAAGATTTATTTTGTAACTAACTTTTGTGGTTCTTTGGTATATTTTATGCAGAACTTTGGCTTTGGAGGATGTAATATCCAATTACTAGCTAGATGCTGTGCTCCATTTTGTTTTGATGTTTACTCTCAGTATGAAAATTTGAATATGATTGAAATATGACACATCAAAAGCCCCGTAATTAAGTAAATAGGATTAATCTCAGAGTTATGAAACACAACTGCCTGCTCCATTATTTTCTATCAACCTAATAAAAATGAAAACCAAAATGTGCTCCCTGAAGTCAAGGTTTTACTTTAAAGATCACATTTGGAACTGATGTTAACATAATGTAAGTTATCCTGTATTAGCTGCATGGAAAGTACTAACAGTAGGGATGCTTAGGAGGAGGACATGTTTTGCAGATTCACCTTTGTAGCCAACACAAAGTCAATAAAAGGTATTTGACTGCCAAGCAGTTCTGACCCCAAACTGTCAAGGATCTAGGTCTGGGTGAGGAACCTAAGGCTCATGTTATACCTCAGTGCCTCAGAGTGGGATGCAGAGTCAACAAACTACAAGGGGAGATTATGGGCGTGGAGGAGGAGGGTTAAGAAGCTTTTCAAGCTTTAAAATGTGCTGATTTTAAAACGTTCATACCTATTAAATGCCGTGAACTTTTTTCAGTATAACTGAGCAAAAAAATTTTACGTCAGTCTTATTATGTATATCATTCTGATTTACATCCAAACATAGAAATATGTTTTCTGAACAAACTCCTATTTCCATATAGTAAGGGATTATACTATCTTTAGGAGTTCTGTGCTTTCTAACACATGCAAAATCTTTTTCTGATTCACATTTTTATCCCTTTAAGCAAAGCATTTTTATTTGACATGGTTAGCATCCCTTGGGAGAATGAGGGAAGCAGATAGTGATAATTCATTTTATGTGTGAGTGCTCTGTAATAAGGAGCTATTATGTAGAGGGCAGGTTGCAGCTGTGGTGATATGACCACTTTAAAAAGATTGTTTGTAACTGTGCAGTCGGATGATCAGAAATTGAACCAATTACCACTTTAAAAGCTGCTGTTCAACATATTTGCATACATTTTCCTAGCCACTTGTATCTGCTTTAAATTGAGGCATGTTGGCACCACTCACAGGCTGGGAATAAGCACGTGGTCATTTAGTGCAGTCCAGTTGATGGACAGTCACTGGCGATCATCTACCAGTTTTCTGAGGGT